AGGCCGCGCGGCGACTCCAGACACAGGAGGGACAGCACCAGCACCCCCAGTGGCAGCACCAGCGCCAGTAGCAGCTCCAGCTCCAGAACCCCCAGCAGCACCAGTAGTACCCCCAGCAGGACCGCCTCCAGGACCGACAGCAGTAGCCTCCGCACCAACACCCGCAGCAACTCCAGCTCCAGAAGTACCCGCAGGTCCAGCAGCTCCAGTACTCCCAGTACGAGCACCTCCGGGACCCGTGGCACCAGCTCCCTCAGCAGCAACAGAACCTCCAGTACCCGCAGCACCTCCAGCTCCAGCAGCTCCAGCAGCTCGCCTCCAGCGCCGGGCAAACCACTCACGCAGCTCCTGGGGAGAGAGTGGCTCCCGGCGAGAAGGAGCACCCGGAGAACCGCCAGGCACAGCACCACCAGGCGTAGCACCCCCAGGCTCAGCACCTCCAGGCGTAGTACCCCCAGGCTCAGCACCCCCAGACGCAGCACCCCCAGGCTCAGCACCTCCAGGCGTAGTACCCCCAGGCTCAGCACCCCCAGTCGTAGTACCCCCAGACTCAGCACCCCCAGACTCAGCACCCCCAGGCTCAGCACCCCCAGGCGTAGCACCCACACGCTCAGCACCCCCAGAGTCAGCACCCCCAGGCTCAGCACCCTCAGCAGCACCAGAGTCACCAGCGACCTCGACAGGCTCAACAGCGTCTACCTGGGACACACCTGAAGGGGCAGGACCCTGAGGGGGGAGGGGGTCTACCGGGGGGGGACCTGGTACAAGGAAGAGCGGTGGCGGGGGGAGGGACGGAGTGCGGTAGGGGAAGAGGCGGTAGTAGGGGACCGACTCGTCGAACGTGACGTCCTGGGAGGACAGAACACGGCGAGAGGTGGGGTGGTAGAACTGCCACCCTGGGGCGTCAGGGGGGAAACCCAGGAAGACGCAAGGAGCAGCACGAGGGGACAGCTTGTCCGCAGACAAGTCGCGGACAAACGCCCGAGATCCCCAGACACGGAACGCAGACGCATCGCCAACCTTCCCCGTCCACAGCAAAGCTGGGGAGGTCTCCGGCATGGAGACCCTGGGCTGAAGGTTGATCTGATGCGCCGCGTACCGAACCGCAAACGGCCACAGAAAATGGGGGGCAGCCGCATGCATCATGGACGTACGGGCGACGTCCATGACCATGCCAATGCGGCGCTCAGCAATCCCATTTTGCTGTGGAGAGTCCGGAAGCGTGAAGGTCTGGCGGATGCCTCGTGCACGACAGTAGGCCCGCAGAAGGCCAGAGGAGAACTCTCCACCTCTGTCAGAGTGCAGACGCAGAACAGGAAAGTCCGAGCCGAAGCTCTGCCTGAGCTGGAGACGAGCTGCGCGGATCCAGTCGATCAACACCTCAGTGACATCACCCTTGCTGCGCAAGGGGAAGACTGTGGTGTAACGCGAGTAGTCGTCAACCACCAGCAGGAAGTAGCGCTCGTGACCCTGTCCATGGACGCGGGCCGGGCCCCACACGTCCATGTGAAGCGTCTGCAGCGGGGCCTCTGTCGGAGGAAACTGGGAGGAGTGAGAGGCAGCCCGCTGCCGCCCCTCGACACAGGGGACGCAGGTAGGGCCAGGCCCCGGAGGAAGGGGAGGGAGGGACCGGGGAAGACCAGAGACAAGGACACGGGAGGCCATGCTCCGGAGACGAAGCAGGGAGGGGTGACCAAGGCGGTGGTGCCAGAGGAGAGTCTCGTGAGACAGGAGGTGACACGAGCAGGGGGCAGACTCAGGACCAGACCTGGACGCTGCAGCAAACACCTGACGCGACGCAGCTACCTGACCAGACGCAGGGACTGGAGGAGACGCAGTGGTCAGTGTGTACAGGCTCGACCCTGGCCGACGTGTAAACGTGGCCAGGTGGCAGCCTGTCCGAGCGTCCGTGCAGTGGGTCACCCGCTGACTCGCAGGAGTGAACTGGTGAACCCCCGCATCCTGTAGGTCAGCACCACTCACCAAGTTCGTAGAGAACGAGGGGAGGTAGAGACCAGACAGGGTGCCAGAGGGGGCCGCCGGACACGGGAGGACAGTGGAGAAGTGAGCAAGGACAGGACCTCCAGAGGGGTCTGCCAGAGAGACCGCAACGGGCCGGCCAAGTGGCGTGAGTGTGGTGCGGTCTCGAAAGAAGGAGCGAGAAGCCCCCGAGTCAAGGGTGAAGGTGTGGGAGGCCGAAGCCGACGCAGAACCTGAGAGAGCAGACTCACCAGCACCTGAGGGAGCAGACGCACCTAGAGCAGCAGCCTCGCTAGCACCTAGAGCAGCAGCCTCACCAGGACCTAGAGCAGCAGTCTCAATGCCCGGGTCGGGCGGAAAACACCGGTAACAGTCACCCTCATCACTAATAGTCACAGTATACACGGCAGCAAGAATAGCATCAAAGTCAAGGTCAAAGAGAGCTACACCCGCCCTAGACAGCTCACCCCAGCGGGGGATCTCAGTGGCCTCAGGGAACTGGTGACGCCAAGCGTCCGTCAGGCGGCCAAAGCAGCGCTGGGTGGAGTGCGCACCCCCGCACTGCTCACCCGCGCGGTCGCCGGTGCGGAGGACGTAGGTGCACGGACCAGTACCCCCACCCCTCTGGCGTGCAGTGTACCACTCACGGAGCTGCTGAGGGGAGGGGATGTCACGAGTGCGCTGCTGCTGCTGCTGCTGCTGCTGGCGCTGACCACCACCGGAGCCGACCCTCTGCGCAGCGCCACCCCGACCAGCTCCACCTCCTCTGCCGCCTCCTCCTCCACCGCCGCCACCTCCGCTCCCTCCGCCACTGCCGCTGCCGCCTCCGCCTCCACTGCCGCCACCGACACCTCCACCCCCGCCACCACCCCCACCGCCACCGCCACCTCCTCCACCTCCTCCACTGCCGCCTCCACCGCCCCCGCTAGCTCCTCCAGCGCCCCTGCCCCCCTTGCCCTTGCCACGGCGGCGTTTCCCGCTAGGGGTAGACGCCGCACCGACCGACTCAAGCCCAACGAGGTCGGCCGCAGCAGCAGAGGCAACAGAGGGCAAAAGGGGGGAGGGGGAACACCCCTCAAAGATGGGGGTGCGAGGGTCACCACGAGAGGCTCCTACAGCTACTATGCTCTTCTCTGCTGCTAGGAGGGACTTCTCGAGGAGGTCAACGGTGAGAGTGGTGGGGCAAACTGAGAGGAAGTGGTCCCTGACTACGCGAAGGGAGTCAGGGAGCCGGGTGACTATGTAGTAGAGGGTGATGTACATGGGGGGGGGGTTCTTGGCGCAGAACTCAGCAGGAAGCGCAGCGCGGTAGCGAGTGTCACTAGTGCGTAGGTGCGTAATGAGGTCAGCGACTGTGGGAAAGGCAGCAAGGTCAGGGAAGAGGTACGGTAGCATGAGGCGACTCAGTGCAGCAGTGGCAGGGGAGGAGTAGCGTGCAACTACAGCGTCGTACAAGGTCTGAGCACTCTTGTACTGGCTAAAGTGCGCACGCTCAGAGGTAGGCAGGTGGCGACGCACAGCAAGACGTGCAGCAGCATCGCGCGTGGCCCACTGGGAGCGAACAGTTGTGTCAGCATCAGTGGCGGGGGCAGGAGAGGCACCAGAAAAGAGGTCAAAGAGGGAGAGGCCGTCTGCCCTATCGCACTGTAAGAAAAGCTGCAGGTCATCTATCCAGACGTCAAAGTCAATGGCCCGACCCTCAGCGTCAAAAGCGAGGACACTAGGGGTAGCCATGACAGCAGTAGACTAGCAGCGCAAACAGTGGGGTGAGGGCAGTGCTGTGAGAGAGGCGCTGCTCTTACCGGACAGGGCGGCTCGGGCGGCTCGGCTGCAGGGCGGCTCGGCGACTCGGCTGCTGGGCGGCTCGGCTGCTGGGCGGCTCGGCGGCTCGGCTGCTGGGCGGCTCAGCGACTCGGCTGCTGGGCGGCTCGGCGGCTCTGCTGCTGGGCGGCTCGGCTGCTGGGCGGCTCGGCGGCTCGGCTGCTGGGCGGCTCGGTGGCTCAGCTGCTGGGCGGCTAGGCTGCTGGGCGGCTCGGCGGGGCCGCTGAGAGGGCGGCGTCCGGGGCCGCTGGGAGGAGGCGGCGGGGCCGCTGAGAGGAGGCGGCAGGGCCGGAAAGGTAGGTGGCGGGGCCGCGTCAGGGGCCGCGACAGGGGCCGCGTCAGGGGCCGCGTCAGGGGCCGCGGCAGGGGCCGCGTCAGGGGCCGCGGCAGGGCCGCGTCAGGGCCGCGTCAGGGCCGCGGCAGAGCCGCGTCAGGGCCGCGTCAGGGTCCGCTTCAGGGCCGCGGCAGGGGCCGCAGCAGGCCGCGTCAGGACCGCGTCAGGGGCCGCGGCAGGGCCGCGTCAGGGCCGCGGCAGGGGCCGCGTCAGGGCGCCGCGTCAGGGGCCGCGTCAGGGCGCCGCCAGGGGCCGCGGCAGGGCCGCGTCAGGGCCGCATCAGGGCCGCGTCAGGGGCCGCTTCAGGGCCGCGGCAGGGGCCGCGGCAGGCCGCGTCAGGGCCGCGTCAGGGGCCGCGGCAGGGCCGCGTCAGGGCCGCGGCAGGGGCCGCGTCAGGGCGCCGCCAGGGGCCGCGTCAGGCCGCGTCAGGGCCGCGTCAGGCACCGCCAGGGGCCGCGTCAGGGCGCCACCAGGGGGCGCGTCAGGGGCCGCGATAGGGCGCCGGCAGGGGTCTCGTCAGGGCGCCGCCAGGGGCCGCATAGGGGGCGCGTGGGAGGCGGCGTAGGGGCCGCGTAGGGGCAGCGTAGGGGCCGCTAAAAAAAAAAAATTTAGGGCAGGGCGCAATATGCGCGGGCAGCTAAAAAAAAAATTCTTATGGTGGGCCCTTAGGAAGGAACGGTCCCATGTAGGAACCCGCTCTATACCATGTGAATCAAGAAAACAGGAATGGATGAACTATGAATGAATTGGGTACAAGTACTAACCCTAATTGGGTTGTACCCCTTATGGAGTACCCCACTATAGCCTACACAATATGCATGAGCTATGATGTTCTGACAACTCTACCTCCACTGGGTCTGCCAACATGTCTTCGCCAAACACCACCTGCCACGTGTGCCAGAGCTACTGCCTCGGCTGCTCCTCCTCTGCCTCTGGTGCGTCTCCTGCTGCTTCTGCCCCCCTTGTCCCTCCTTCACCGCGTCTCCCACCTCACGATTTCTATTATTCGCCACACCACCCTCTCCTTCAACTTCCTTCCATCCCGAGCCCACTCTTTCCCAATACTTCGTCTCTCTAGAAAACTTTCCCTCTGCTTTCTCTTCCCTCATCGCCATGGCTTATCTGGTTTGGATTCTTTCTGTACAACCTTCTTAAAGCCCTTCTATCTCTTTTTCCTCCCACGGCCATATTTTCAACATCCTCTCTCACCCCTCTTGCATTCTCTCACCCTTCTTGCCTTCCCTAATTCCTCTGGCATTCTCCCTCCTCTATTGCCTTCTCTCACCCCACTTCCCTTCTCCCTCCCCTCTTGCTTTCTCTCTCCCATCATGCCTCAGTACCCACATCCACATCCACCAGTACTCTCTCCCCAGGAGCCATAGTGGTGGCGGCACTCATTGCACTCGTCGCCCTTGCCCTCCTCCTCTCTCTCACTCGTTTTGTTCCCTTTCTCTCTGCCACAGCCTCCCCCCTTGCTTCCAGCAGTGCTCTCTCTCTAGGAGCCATAGCAGCCATGGTGGTGGCAGCACTCGTTTCTCTCATTGCTCTCATCGTCTTCATCATCCTCATTTGGTTCTACTTCCGCTGTTCAAAGCCTGGTAGGTGGATGTTTAGTGTTTTGTGGTTTGCAATTTTGGACGATGGTGAGTTGTCTCAATGCCATGAGCTCGTCGCCTTGTCATTCCCCTCAGGCTCCATATCGGCCGATCTCTCCGCATAATGCAAGCTTGCGGAGATCTAGCAATCCACCAATGGTTTTCCAGAAATTAGCATGGCTGCCTCTGTTACAGGATCAAAGTTTCGCTCGATTTTCTTGCACAACAGGCGAGTACAATGCGTTTTTTTACTCCCATAATTCAAGCAGCATAGCGATGGCGGGATTACGCTGTCGGTAGACATGAGAAAAATCTCAAACCCCTGTTCGGTTCGAATCGAACAGCTGATTTGTTATTGCAAAAAATGTTTGGATCGAACCTGTTACTGTTCGACCCGAAAATGTTGAAGTGTTCGAGGTGACTTATAGGGACCACCCATGTACAAACATGTTCGAGTGGCGAATTTCTTCGACACCTTTCCCACGGTTCACTACGTCTATCTACCACACCACTACCTCCTTCTATCCACTTCCCATTCTTCTCCCCCCAGCATGCAAGAAGTACTCGCTGCTTATACCACTGCCTCTATCTACCCATACGCCTCTTTTTCCCTTCCCCCAGCGTGCAAGCAGTACTCACTGGCAGCAGTCCACCAACTTGTTTTCGGAGGTCAACCTGATTGGCTCGGGGGGATTCAGCGATGTGTACAAGGGCGTGGATCCACATGACCCTGAGGTGGTGTGGGATGTCAAGCGCGCCACCATGCTGTCCAACGACTTCATGAAAGAGGTGTGCAGACCTGAAATTCGAGGAGGAGGGCGTAAATTCGAGCCATCAAGACCTGAATGACTACTTGAAACTGCCTCCAATGAAACCACCTCGTTTTATTTCATACTCCGGAATCTCCTTTTCTTCAGTTTCTTTCTTTCTTTCCCAGGTGAAGCCATGGTGCGGCTACAGTACGCTGAATCGACTACAACTCTTGCTTCCACGCATGTCTCCTCCATTGTACTTTGACTTCATGATCGCCCTCCTGCTTTGCCTACTCCCATCACCTCCCTCGTCTCGCAGGTAGCAGCAATGGCACGGCTGCAGCACCCAGCACTGGTGCCACTGCTGGGGTAGTGCATCAACTACAACGAGGCAACCCTGCAGATGGAGCAGATCATCGTGTCCCAGTTCATGCCCAACGGGGACCTTTCACAGTGGACAATGCCAGGTGCGGTTAGGCCAGCAGGGCTTCAAATCAAATCACCTTATGGCATTTTAAGCAAACAGATAGAGCAGTTTACTATGTTTCAGTTCATTCCCACGAGGGACCTCTTGCACTGGATCACGCCTGGTGAGGCTACGATCAATTCAAGCAAGGCAAGGGCCAAGCTGTCTATCACACGATTGAATCCTCACTTGAAGTTGTTGTTTGCTATGTTTTGATACAAGGGGATTACATACTTATAATCTAGAAAAATGGAGAAGGGATTGGAAAACATACAAAGCTGTACCTTTCCAAAACCGACAGTTGAATCTATCTTTACTTCACAACCTTATTGAATTTGGATATTTCACGACATGTTTCTTACTACAGTGTGCCAATACACCTCGTGCAATTGTTGTTGATATTTCTAAGTCACAATCTAAAGCTAAGCACACAAACTCAGAATAGAGATTCAAACGAGGTGGTAAAAACGTAACAACATAAGCGTTATACGACGATGTAATATCACACAAGCTAGGCGAGTGAAGGAGGGTGTGAAGGTAGTCGAGGGCTGAAGAGGGGGAAGAAAATAGGGGGGATGGAGCAAGCGAGTGCAAGGAGGGGGGGGGAAGGAAGGAAGGGAACAAGCGAGGGAGAGACACTTTAGGAACAATTGTCAAGCCATCTGGCTGCCTTCATATTCGCCTTCACATACTCTTGGGGGCTGCTCTCCTCATTTCATTCTTCCATTCCCATTCCTCTGTAGTCCTGTTCCCCATTACCTTCATTCTGCAGCTTCCTGATGTTCTTCTCTCCCAGAAGCTAAACTACTTGTTCGCACGTGCATCACTCCCCATGTCCGAACTGTACCTCCCATGAGCCAAGCCCATCTCGCCCCACAAAACCTTACTTTCTCTCCGCATGCCCTCTTCATTCCCCCATGCCCCCAACTCCCAGGGGCGAAGCCCATGTTGCTGCGTGTGAGGCTGGCAGTGCTGGTGGACGTGGCGGATGGGCTGAGCTTCCTCCACAGCAGTCGGATCGTGCACCGCGATGTGAAGCCGGCCAACGTGTTACTGGATGCAGACATGCAGGTGAGACTGGTGAAAGGCCCCAAGCTTGATTGTGTGGTTTTTTTCATGAAGCTCGAGCCGGTTCATGTACTTCAGAAATTAGTTGGGTTGGGAGTGGATGGAAAGTAATGGTGGGAAGTGATGGTGCAAACATCTCTAGTTGTTGGATGGGAGAATGATTATGCTCTAAATATCATGGAACAGATAATTATTGGTCAAGGTAGCCAAAACCATGTGATGGAAAAAAGAGCCACCGACCAGCTTCGTTAAGAGGGTGAGACTGCAAAAGCCTGCACCAAGCCTGCAGACAAATATCTTGGTGTTTTTATGCGAACGATATTCGACCCAACCCAATACACCTGGTCCGTGGTATCTTCACCGCGCGAAACGGGTGGCAGAATTTTGGATGATCTGGCCGTGGTGAAGACAAGGGCTCAAAATTTGGGTCCTTTCTCACCACAGAATATCTGACCAGCATGGAAAGTTTTGACTGTACCCTGCAAAAGGAACACTTTGCTCTTTATCGCCATCGGTTTTGTTCGAGAGTTAGGAGTAAAGGCATCGACGATGGCGATTTGCCGAGAAAATCCTTATGGAGAAGCCTCGATATGCGTCTCGCCTGAGTGCACGCCCCCTTCACGGCGCCAGCTGAAATGTCAAAAAAAGGCTCAGCGATTTCTCCCACTTGGTTCGGTCAAGTGTGAACAGCGATTTCTGGCCGCCCAACAGAAAACGCTCTGCATGCCGACAATCGTGGGGAAGATACTGGGGGTGAAATAACCGCGGACCAGGTTTACGCAAATATGAAACGGCTTTGATTTGGCATGCTATTTGCACGTATTTGGTCGTAAAAAAATCATGAAGACAAGTCGCCCACCGAACATTCGGGTATTTTAGGGGCCTAAACTCAAATTGCGAAAAGTGGATTGTTGGGTCGATATGGAGTCAGGGATGTGTTTCTACGTGACATATAAAACCAGACATTTAAATCTCAAATGCTTAAAATTGAACAGCAGGTGGAGATCTTCAAATGGAGATTTGGATGATCACGTGCGGGTCAGGTTTAGATTTTGAATGTAACAGCGAACCCAAAAACTTACTGTACACTGAGCTACAGTCTTAAAAGTACAAATAGAAGTGAGATTGTACACCATCTTTAAGACCCCTTTATAGACAATAAATCGTTACCCTGTGCAAGTGGTGGAACCCAAAGCCCCATGGAGTGGAGTACGCAGTGATGATAAACACATCCAAACCCTAGTGAAGAGATCAGCGGGGTTGTGAGTCAGATTCTTCGTACCTGATAAGGTTGGTGTTGACTGAGGTTGGCCAAGAGCCTTTGGCTTCTTTGGCAGCCAAGTTTGGCTTGTACTTTTGACACTCTCAACGCGATCTCGAAGCATTAGCTAAAATAACGACGTGTCAAACAGTCGACGTTCAAGCTTTCATTTCCAACATAAAACTGAGTGAGGTTAGAGTTTTGTGTGTTAAACTGGACCCACAAAACGTTTTGTTTTTGTTCAACAATATTTGAAAAGTGCAAGTACATATGTGGGAAGAGAAGTGCGGTCCATCTAGTCCACAGTGGGAATTTTGGAGGTGTTGAAAGCTCCCTTTATTGGTTCACATGCAGAAATATAGGAGAAATAGTTCAGTGTATAAATGAAAGTTCTGTCAATACTAGCTTCTGAGGCAAATTTGCATTGTAGTGTTTGTTTCCGCTCATATCTTCCTGTTCCAACTCGTTGCCCCAGAATTTGTGCACCCTTCCACCATTTTCTCTCCTTTTAACCTCTCCTCTCTCTTTCCCTGCCGTGCACCTCTTTCAGGGATTGTAGTTCACCCATCTCCCCCTCCCTCTCCCCCACAACACCACCGACCCTCACAGGCAAAGGTGGCGGATTTTGGGTTCATGCGGATGATGGAGGCAAGCAAAGTGAACCCCACCAGGGCGATGGGCACACCGGGCTATGTGGACCCCGAATACCACGACACGCACCTCGCCACCACTGCCACTGACGTGTACAGGTAGGCAGTGCTGCCTCGTGATGTTATAGGGCTTGAAGGACTCGTAGGACCAGTAGCGATGCCATATGTGGATGGAATCCCCAACTACCACCATCACTGCCGTCAGGTCAGCGTACATCAATATGCAAGGGGTGAAGGACTGCGTGCTTTGCAAAGTGCATCCATGTGATTTTGCTGATATTGAACAGCACTCCCCTCTCCTCAACTCCACCACCCTTTTTCTTCTAGTTTCAAAGTGCTGCTGCTAGCGCTCCAGGTAATGATATTTCACACCATCCACTTCTCTCTACTCTATCCTCTTTTCTCAACTACCATCATCCCACCTCCAGTTTCGGAGTGCTGCTGCTGCAGCTGCTGACAGGAAGGGAGCCCATCCTCCCCACTGACAGCTCTCACTCACACATTCGGGAATGGGTTAGTAAATGATTCTCCTCGTCCCCATAACCTAACCCTCTTGCTGAATCCTCGTGCAATTTATTCTGTATGCTAAGGGCTCTCACTTGCACATTACGGAATAAGTGCATGCTTCCCCTCATCTCCATACCAAAATCCACTCGCTGAAATGTTATCACGTGTGCTGGGTTACTAGAGAGAGAACAGTTGCGGAGTGTGTTAATATTGGCATCTAGAGCTATATCCGCTCTTTTCAGCCCACCTATCTCTTCCCTTCTCCTCTTCTCCCTTCCTCCGGCCCTTTCTATCTGCTCGTACCCTTCCATCTCCTCCATCTCATTACCTCTGATACCCTTCCCTTCCTTCGCACTCCATCTCTCCCACTATACTGGTGAATGCAGAGATCTCTACTGGTGACGTCAGCTCCATCATAGACCTCCAGATGGTCCCCCGTGTTGATTGTGTAGGTGGTTGTGGTATTTTGCTCTAGCTGGTTGTGGGCTAAGGGTTTGGGCAAAATATGATTGCTAGACTTGTTACGGGCTGGATTTGATCTCGTACCAAACAAGCACCAACAAACCTTTGCTACCCACTACAACACCTTTGGTGTTGCTAGTTTGGCATTTTGGATTGTTGGGGATTGTTGTATGGCGAGGGTTGGGATGGTAGGGTTTGTCAAACTCGTCATTTTTCAGATCTGAACTCTAGCTTAAGCCATTCCTATATGTAATCCATGGCTGCCAAGTAATACGGCTAGGACACCCCGTCGCACTTAAATCGCGATAGCGATCGGCCTAGATCTTGGTTTAAGACGAGCGTTACCATTCTGGAAAGTAGAGATTAAGAAGTTTCCAACGCGTACCCGCTCATAGCTTAAGGTTACGTGAGCTGTATGCAATGTTCCGTCGAAGTCGGCGGACTTAGTCTCTTGTACGCTCTCCAGATTCGCACGCTATCCATCAGTGGTATCAGAGCTGGTTAGGCCTGCGACATTCCCTATTTTTATCAAATTTAGAATTGGTTTAAGGACATCCAGATCTAGGGTTGGTCATGGCCCAGAAATTAGATGGCCCTCCTAGGTTCACCGGCTCGGATTTTTCGCTATGGCGGTTCCAGTTTACGCTTTGGCTAGGTATCAAAGACCTAGAAGGCGTTTTGGAGGGATCGGAGCGAAGACCTGGAGCTGATGAAGCAGAGGCATCTGCTGGAGTTTCTAGCCAAGAGGGAGCAGGGGCTGGGGGAGCCTCTAGCTCATCTATAAGTGAGGGAAGTGGAGGTGGATCAGCAGCACCGCGAGCCGGAAGGCACCGGCTTAGTGCGGAGGAGCTACTTCAGGCACAAGAAGCATGGGACCGCAAGGACAAGCAAGCGTTCCAGTACCTGTGTTGGGCTTTGGAAGGCCAACTAGAGCTCCTAAAGATGCTGATTGACCTGAAGGGGAAGCAAGGAGCAGCTGCCCAAGCATGGAAGAGAGTTCAAGATTGACATTTGCAAAAAGGGTTGCTAAGCATACTCACCTGGAGGAAGCGGTTCTACACCA